TAATTCTTACTGACACTCAAGTTACTAGTGAGATAACTTGTAGTTTCAAATCAATATATGGTCCATCAGAGGACCCTCATGGTCCGTTGATGAACCTTAGACATGCTGAATTACAACCTCATTACTGAATTAGAGGAAGGAGATTTAGGTTGCATTTCTTGATTCCATTGTGACAATTCTGTACTTCATAACACTTTTAATTTCTGCATTATAATAGTGTACTAAAGAGTACTGTACTCTCTCAGCTCACAGTGGGCATGTAGCTTTGTTTGTTAATACAGATTAAGTATCCCTTATCCCAAATGTTTGTGGTTGGAAGTGTTTCAGATTTCAATTTTTTTTTCAAAAAACTTTTGGAATTTTTTCATGTACATAATGATATATCTTGGGGATAGGACACAAATCTAAACATGAAATTCATTTCTCTTTCATATATACCTTATATTCATAGCCTGAAGTTAATTTTAAACAATTTTTTGGTATACCTACATTTTTTTTTCCTCCAGTGTCTCCCTTTTCACAATACAGACCAGGCACAGGGCCTAGGCTGAAATGTATATGCCCTCTCTTTCTATATAGTCAGTAGAAAGTAAGAACACAGCTTGTGTAAGCACCAGGAGGCTCGCACCTATATTTTGGCTGCAACCCATCACTTGAGGTCAAGTGTAAATTTTTCATTTGTGGCATCACATTGGCACTCAAAAAGTTTCAGAGTTTGGAGCTGACAGAGAGGCTCAAGTTGTAGAGCACCTGCCTACTAAGTATTAGGCCCTGAGTCCAAACCCCAATACTGCCAAAAGAAAAAAAAACTTTCAGATTTTGGAGCAATTTGGGTTTTCAGAACAGGAATGTTCAACCTGTAATGACTGTGCCTATAATTGTAGTGTATATCCCAGGGTGGGGGAGCACCATCTTTATTTCTGGGAATTTATGAAATAACCTCTTCTGGTTGGTGCATACTCAGAGTGAATCCATGTGAGATGCTGACTAAACAAGGTGCTCAATGTAGCAGCATCAGTTACAAAGAAGGACAAGTAAGAGCCATCTGTAGTCATTTGGATCTCAACTCATGGAAACCTCATTGCTACAGACTCAATTAGTATTCTCACAGGGAATGTCCCAGGACTGTGTATACTCTTTTACCCACAAATCATCTCTGAAGTCTAAACAAAACCAGTTCAAGTAAGATTTGAGAAGAAAAGTACCTTAACCTAACTAAAATATGTTGGTAATAGGTAGTTTTGCATCATCTTAGAATTCTGTGTGGCATAATTTTAGTTTTGTAACTATTACCGGTAGCTTTAACTTTTTAAAAAAACAAAATCCATGTCACATACCAGTTCTGGCAACTGTTTCATGTACTACATTCTGATCCAGATACAGGATCTGAATTCAAATAGCAGTGTTATTAATTGCTATGATTAAATCTAGAATTCAAAAAGGCAATCACAGCTTAATCTAGGATATCAAGTGGCATTGTGCTCAGTGAATACAAATTATGTTTAGAGACTGGAAATTGTGGCAAAAGATATTTTTAAAGATATGTAAGTATAGGTACTAATAAAATAGTTTGGGTTGGAGATGTGGCTCAAGTAGTAAAGTATCTGCCTAGCAAGTATGATGCCCCGAGTTCAAATCCCAGTACCAGGAAAAAAAAGTTGAAACTTTAATATCTGTTTTTTACTGTTTGAGATCTATTTTTAATCAAACAATTTAGGTAACTATTTGAGGAATTTTCTCAGTTGCAAATTAACTGAGCCCCTTTATAGACAAGTTATTTATTAACCTTCCCAGGAATATTAACGGTTCCTAATCTAAACATATTATCTTTTGTTTTATTTTCATGAGACAGGGTCTCACTATTTTGTCCAGTTGGCAGGGAACTCCTGGGCTCAAGTGATCCTCCTACATCAGCCTCCTGAGTAAATGGGAATATAAGGTTCACACCACCATGCCCAGCTGAACACATTATCTGTTTTTATAGGTAGGCATATTGTTCAATAAAAAGAAAGAAAGAAATTCATCTGTGGGCATTTGATGCAAGGGCCTAGAAACATATTTTTAAAAAGGTCATAAGTCATGTGACATTTCTCTTAAGAACGTGATTTTGGTATAGCCATCCTATTAAGCCTGTGAATATTATTTCATTATTTTTCCATTGGATTAATTTAAGGGATTAATACTCAAGAGGACTAAAAGACTAAATAAAACTTTGATTTAGTTGTATTTTCAAGTTGGTCTCACTAAAAAAATGATCCTTGCATTTCAGGTAATTGCTCAGCACACTCGGGAGCTACTAGGAATTGAAGAGCCCTTATTCAGCCGCAGCATCAGACTTCCATATAGGGACAATGTTGGCTTATTTTTAGAGCAAAAATGTCATACTGGGGTAAAATCTGATACCTTAACCTTATCTGAATTTGTCAAAGCAGCAGGATTACAGGACTGTGGCCCACCAATAACTACCCCTGAAGAGAAGGATTAGTAGGAGGAGGAATTATTGGAGTGAACCACAGAGGAAAGCCATTTCACTTAGCTTGAAAGATCAAACTAAATTACTTGGAGGAAGACGTGTGGTCTTTTGGGAGTTTTTTTTTTGTTGTTTTCCTTTTCATTAAGAATCAGAGTTTAGAACTGTTGGCTCCACTCCTAATTCTTCCTGGATTCAAAGCCTCTTCCCTTTGTTTCACTTTAGCCACTCGGTTTAAAAAAAGATGGCAATATTTACCTTTCTGGGAAATTGTAAGAATTCCTGTTAAATTCTAATAATATACCTGTTAGTAGGAACATATTGGGAAAATATAATTAAAAATAAAATCTCAGCCAGGTTTGGTGGTGCACACCTGTAATTCCAGTACTTTGGAGGCTGAGGCAGGAAGATTGAATTGCAAGATAGCCTGAAGCTGCACAGTGAGACACTGTCTCAATAAGAAATAAAGAACAGAATCAAATATTCTGCCAGACCAAATAATCCTCTCCACAAATGCAGAAGACATTTTGTTATTGAATAAGCATTAAACTGTGCTTCATGTGGAGTTCAGCTGCTAGAGACTGCAAAGACAGACATCTCACTCTTTAAAATAGCCAGGCAGATACAATCCAAGACATCCAAGTTAGTTATCTATCCAAAGGAAAAATAAAACTTCTCATATCTTGATGACAAACAGGAAGTTACTACTTGGAGCCAATCCGCTAGGCTAAGCTCCTAGGAAGGTAGGGAGATAGGATTCCATTCACCTCAATGCTCACATGTCAGAATGTGGCTCTAGAGCCTCCCAAAAGACTTGTCAGGGGTATAAAACTGGAAAGAGGCTTATTCAGCTTTTGAAAAGACATATGTGTCTTCAAAACATACAAAAGATTTGAATTATGTTTTCTAAAAATGTTTTAAGGAGGGGGACATTCTCTTTCTCTTTAGGTACTATAGAAAAATGAAGATTATTTGTTAAATTTATATATGTTCTCACATATAATATGACCTATAGAAGTACCACTGACTGTGAAATAGGATCTGGGGTTTGTTTACAAGGCTTTTTGATAGAGTAACTTCCAGACTTGTGTAAAATGGAGTTCAGTGTAATTCTACTAAAATAAAGTCTACTTATGACCAGACTTCTCAAAAGAAATTATTACTTTTTATTGCTTGAATAACTCCATCTGCCCTCTAGTTTTTCAGATTTAACTGCCCAAGCTGACCTGGCAAAAAAATGGTCCTCCTACTTATGCCTACCATATAGGTGGGTAACAGGCATGTATCACCATGCCCAGCTTTTTTGTTGAGAATGAGTCTTACTACCTATTTGTGCCAGGGTTTGCCTTGAACTTTGATCCTCCAGATCTCTACCTCCAGAGAAACTGTTATTATAGGCATGAGCCACCTTGTCTGGCTTGCTTCTTAATCCTAAGAACACAACAGGGCTAATGTAATTCGGAAAGGCAATGATGTTCCTTGTCTGGTTCCCTACACCTGAACAAATAGTGAAAGGAAAGTTTCTTCTTCATTTTTCACTGAAAGAAGGAATAAACCAGCATGTGTACCACAGATTAATATTTGATGATAAACTAATTTTTTTCCAAATTAAGACTAAGAAGTTCTATCAGAAACCATTCTAGCACCATAGCATTAAATTTTCTTGGTTTGTGACTATGCAAAAACATGTAAATGATTAAGAGCATCTAGTAATTTCCAAGTATAGTGAATGGTTTTGCTCAAAAGCACTTTAGCATTTGGAAAACAGTGGCTCTCTTCAGTGACAAAGCACAGTAAGTGACATCCTTTCTTAGCTTGATGGGACCACTATGGTTGTTTTCAACTCTTAGAAATTGACAAAAACTATTTACAAAATAAAGGAAATAAATTTGCACTATAGAAATAAGATCTGTATTTTGCAGGATTATTTTTACCCATGTAATATAAATGCCAGGTTGTTTTGGGGTTTTTTGAGACAGTGTGTCACTATGTAACCCAGGCTGGCCTGAAACTCATGATCCTCCTGCCTCAGCCTCCTGAGTGCTAGGGTTACAGGTGTGTGCTACCATACCCAATCCGTTACTTTTTTAAATGGTTATGGTTTTAAATAGGAAGAGCTTTAAGTAAGAAAGCACTAGAACAGTCTAATAAAACTAAAGCAAGCATGAAATGAGTCATAATTCAATTAAGATTGTTTACCCAACATTTACTTCTCTATCCAAATGGTAGGATAATAATTATATACTCCTATAGGGAAAAAAAAAAGCTGTATATGTAATTGTCTAATAGCATTGTAACTTCTTGAATTTAGTTTTTAGAAGAGAACAATTTGTGTTAACAAGGCTTTTCTGGGGAAGCACTATGTTAAGTTGTATAGTTTCATTTGGTTATTTCTGAAAGCTAGAGATACCCAAGTAACACTGATGTTTAGGACTGCTTGTTTTATTCTACATTTGAAAGAGCCACCAGTACAGTTTTCAAATGCAAGACAGTTACATGACTTCCCCTGTCAATTGCAATAATCAGGATATTACACTGCAAAGCTGATCTTTGAGGGAAAACAAAATCCTGATGCTGAGGTCCCTTGTTGAGATGGAGAGCCCCTGGGAACCACTGTTTGTTCTTTGGTTGGGGAGATGCCAAATGAGTCACAATACAGACAGGTAAGGTGGTCCTGGAGAACAGTATTGGCTGAGAGATACTGGCTAAAAGGAGTTTCCTTGAGTTGCACAGCAGTCAGATCAAACCAGGGGAAAGGCCTGGGATGGAAAAAAAAATACTGTTACTTTTTATTTCTGTTCAATTCATCTGATCTGGCTGCTAAACACATGACTGGGGAAAGAATCTTTGAACTTGAGAAATTTCCAAACCTGAAAAACAGAACACTGGAGGCTGAAAAATACAGAATATATACAAGGACTGTGGGACAACCACAAAAGATGTAACACATACATAATGATAATACTAAAAGGAGAAGAGAGAAAGGCATAGAGTATTTGAAGCAATAATGACTGAGTGTTTCCTCAAAATTAATGTCAGAGACCAAACAACAGGTCCAAGAAGCAAGTGAGAATACCAGGCAGATAGATGCCACAAAAAACTACTCCTAGACATATTTTCAAACTACTGAAAATCAAAGACAAAATCCTGAAAGAACCCAGAGAAAGAACAAAGTAATCCAAGTACAATTTCAAATAACACTGTACTACTTTCACAGGTAGTGTGAAGTAATAGCGAAATAATTCTAATTCCTCCCTAATGTTCTTTGTATCATTACTGTCATTCATCACACACACACATACACACACACACACACATACACACACACACAGTGTGTGTATAGAAGAAAGGTAAGAATTAACTAACTTCTCAGAAGCCATGCAATCAAGAAGAGAATGGAATGAAATACTTAAACCACTAATCTAGAATTCTGTGTCCTGCCAAATTATCCTTCAAGACTGAAGGAGAAATACAGACTTTACCTAATTTAGGGGAGGGAAGAGATAAAGGAGAATGGTGGAGGGGAGAATTCAAATATGGTAAATTTGATTTTAAAACTTTTATAAATCCCACAATGTACCACACCCAGCACAACAATAAAAATAAAATAAAAAAATAAATTTAAGGTGCTGTAAAAGAATGGAAAAAAAAAAAAGATTTTACCTAACAAAAATTGATGGAATTTGTTGCCAGTAGACTTGTTTTGCAAGGAAAACTTTCAAAGAAGTTCTTCAGAAAGAAGGAAAACGATAAAGGTCAGAAACTTGGAATCACATAAAGAACATTGAAGAAGAAATATGTGATGCTAAAGTTAAAACCATTTTTTCTTATCCATTTATGGATGGAACAGATAATGGTTTGTTCAAGGTAATAGCAACAATGTATTCAATTATATATGTAGATGTGTGTTTGAGTAAAATGACAGCAATGATACAAAGAATACAAGGATGGAATTAGGATTATTTTGTTATTATAAAGCACTCACACTACTTATATAGTAGTACAGGGTTATCTGAAATTGTACTTGGATTGTGTATAAATGTATAGTGAAGCTCTATATTGTATGTAAGTGTATAGATTGTAGGTTATAACGTTAATATACAAAACCCAGACTTGGTCCATTTTTTGTTTTTATCACTGAATACTACAGATTGGGCAATTTGTAAAAATTAGAGAGTTATTTATTGGGGAAGATCAAGAAATGGTGCCAGTATCTGCTCAGTGTTTGGTAGGGCCTTCCTATGGGGTCATAATATGGTGGAGGGCATCACATGGTAAGACAGAGCAAGCATACTAGCTCAGATCTCTCCTCTTCCTATAAAGCCTCTAAAGCAGTTAGAGGGTCTCTCCCTCATGACTTCATCTAATCCTAAATGATTTCCAAAAGCGCCACTTCTAAATACCATTAACATATGATTTAGGGGATTAAGTTTCAACATGGGACTTGAAGAGGAAAAACACCCACACTATAGCAACCAGAATGAGCAGATGAAATTTAAAGTTAAAAAAAACCATTTACATTGGTACACCTAAAAGTAAAATACTTAAGTATAAATCTAATGTAATATGTACAAGTCTGTACAAGGAAAAGTATAAAAGAAATCAAAGAACAAAATAAATTTAGAAAGATTTCATGTTCATGGACAGGAAGACTCAATACTGTCAATGTGTAAGTTCTTCTCAACTTGATTTAAAGATTTAATGCAACCTCAATCAAAATCCCATCAAGTTATTTTGTGAGTATTGACAAATTGATTCTAAAGTTTATATGGAAGGACAAAGAGTAACATTAACCAAGTCAATATTGAAAGAAAAGAACAAGGTCCAAAGATCAGTGTGATTTAAGATATATTACAAGGCTACGGTAATCAAAATAGTGAAAAAATAGAGAAATAGATCAATGGAAAAGAATAGAATAGAAAAGATACAGATTGTTCTATAAGAAAGGAGAAAAAGTATTACAATGGAGAAAACACAGTCTTTTCAACAAATTGTACTCAAATAGCTGGACATACGTATGGAAAAAATCTAAACACAGACCTTATACCCTTCACAAAAATGAATTCAAAATTTATCCTAGATTTAAATGTAAAATGAAAACTATAAAGCTCTTAGAAGATAACAGGAAAAAGGTCTAGCTGACCTTGAGTTTGGCAATGAGATTTTTTGAAACAGGGTCTCTCCAGGTGGCCCAGGCTAGCCTCAAACTCATGACCCTTTTGCTCTTGCCGCCCATGTGCTGGGATTGCAGGCGTGAACCACCAGTCCATCCAGCAATTCTTTAATTGTAACATGAAAGACATGATCCATCAAAGAACTGATAATATGATCTTTAAATTAAATTCTTCTGTACAATGAAAAAAGAAACTGTCAAGAGAATGAAAATGCAAGCCACAAAGTGGCATGTGTTTGCAAAAGACACATCTGATAAAGGAGTGTTACCTAAAATATACAAAGAACTCTTAGTGATAAGAAAATAAACAACCTGCTCAGTGGCTGAGCACTTACCTAGTATGTGCAAAGCCCTCAGTTCAAGCCCCATATTAAAAAAAGAAAATGAGAAACCCAATCTAAAAATGGGCAAAAGACCTGACACCTCACCAAAGAAGCTATATAGATGGCAAATAACCATACGAAAATATCTGCAACACTAGGTAGTTGTAAAATCAACAATGAGGTCCCACCTCATACCTATTAGAATTTCCAAAATCCAAAACACTTAAATGCTGCTGAAGATATCAATAAGAATTCTCTTTCACTGTCAGTGGGAATGCAAATGGTACTTTGGAAGACAGTTTGGCAGTTTCTTACTAAACTAAAATACTCCTTACCAGGTGATTCATTCAGCAATCAAACTCCATGTGTTTGCCAAAATAAATTGAAAATGTACACTGCCACAAAAAAACTGCCTATAGATATTTATAGCAGATTTGGTCATAATGCCAAAACATGAAAACAACCAAGATATCCTTCAGGAGATGAATGGATAAATAGACTGGTACATCCAGACAATGAAACATTATTTGGTGCTAAAACAAAATGACTTATCAAGCAATGAAAAGAAACAAAGGAATGCGGATTACTAAGTGAAAGAAGCCAATCTGAAAAGCCTACATGCTGTACGATCCCAACACTGCATGACATTCTGGAACAGGCAAAACTATGAAGTCAGTAAAAAGATTAGTGGTTGCCAAGGGTTAGAGGGTTGGGAGGGATGACTAAAAAGAGCACAGAGAACACAGCAGTGAAAGTGTTCTGTATGACACCATAATGGTGGAAACATGTCATTAGATATTTTTTCAGACCCACAGAATGTGCAACACCAAAGAGTGAATGCTATTGTAAACTATGGACTCTGGATGAAAATATGTCACTGTAGGTTCATGAATTCTAAGAGATATACCATGCTGGTGGGGAATGTTGACAATGCGAAAGGCAGTGCATGCATGGGGATAGGGAAATCTCTATACATTTCTCTCAATTTTTTTTACAAAACTGCTTTTAAAAAGTTTTTTAAAAAATATTTTTAAAAAGGGGAGGATTGGAGGTGTGCCTCAAGCAATAGTGCACCTGCTTCGCAAGCGCAAAACCCTGAGTTCAAACTCCAGTCCCACCAAGAAAAAGGAAAGGGGAGATAAAATTTTCAATCATCCTCCTTTTTTTCCTTTGCATCTTACTTGTTAAAAAAACTGTCTCATTCGTTCTATAAGGTTTTCCACATTCTAGATTTTGGTGGTTATATCCCATGTTACTAAACATTTCACTTCATTTGAATTCCCTGTAAAAGCTTAGAAACATGATCAAATTCAGGTCTGATTTTTTAATGACAATACTTCATTGATGTCTATTGTTATCTTGAAACATGTCTTATCTCTTTTTGTAGTATTAAGACTGACTAGTGGATTCAGCTTGATCCATTCATGATAAAGTTCCCTCATCAACTTTTTGCCTATTATTCCTTCAAGAAAGAACTTTTAAGATGGGCACCAGTGGCTTACACCTGTAATCCTAGTTACTTGGGAGGCTGAGATCCAGAGGATCTCAATTTTTCCAGACAAATAGTTAGTCTGGACAAATAATTAGCAAGACCCCATCTCCAAAAAAATAACCAGAGCAAAATGGACTGGAGGTATGCTCAAGTGGTAGCATTCCTGCTTTACAAGTCCAAAACCCTGAGTTCAAACCCTTGTCCAAACAACAACAAAAAAAGGAACTTTTACATTTGGTAAACAGCACCAAAAGCAAAGAGTAAATATCCTGCTTAATGGATTTGATAGTAATAGCATACCCTACAGGCTGGAGATATAGTTCAGTGGTAGAGCGCTTGCATAGCATGTGCACGGTCCTGGGTTTGATCCCCAGCACTGCAAAAAACAACACAGCAAAAACCTATAGCCTATCCACTTTTAAGTCCTTTTTTCACAGCAGATATCTCTAGAAAATTGGATTTGAGGTATAGAACAATTTTACTTTTTATTTGGTACTTGTTTTGCCACAAATATTAATTTTTCAAAGTTCACAAAAGAATGTATGTGTGCACACAGGCATGGTGGTGTATGGTCTACAATTTTAGCACTCAGGAGGCTAAGGCAGGAAGACTGCAAGTCTGAGGACTGTCTATGCTACATAGTGAGACACAGCCCCCTCACCCCCCCAAAAAAGGAAAGAAAGAATACTTATGTTAAAAGAGTTAAGATTATTTTTGAAAAATAATAATGAAGGGAATTTGCACTACCAGATAGATAATAAAACATATCTATATACTGTAAAGTGATTAATTGTGGAATGGGAATAGAAAAAAAGGACCACAGTTCAGAATGGAATGCACAAATATACCCATGAATGTATTCCTATTAAAACCTCCTACAAAAAAATCAAACCATCCAGAGAAAAAATAGTAAGAGACAAAAAATGAGAATGAAAGAAAACACGAGAACAGCATTGGAAGCTGGAAAGAATATGGACAGGTAAAAATACTGAGCTTACTTACATGGGAAAAACCTAAGTAAGCAATGGGGAAAGCCAAGGCACTGTCCTTTCACATCAAAATCCACAAAAGATTCAGGAATTAGCAGGACCACATACATCTGGAAGCAGGGTAAGATGGGACTAAAACCAGGACGACTTGATTGAAAATCTTAAGAAGAAGAAAGCTCTCTAAATAACTATTTAATGCTGTACAATCAGCAGACTGCACTCCTTAGCCCTGACAGTTCATTATCTGGACAGAATTAAACAGAAGTTCCCTGGACAGAGAGAAAATAGTCACTACTGAGGGCAGGGATATTACGCTAAAAAGAGAAAATCTATACATTGAATGATAACAGAGAGAGAGAGAGCAAGAGAGACAAACTGAGACAGAGACAGAGACAGAGAGTTTTCTTCCCCAGTTTGGGTTCCAAAAGAGTAAGGTATATCTTTTCTAGGCAGAAGGATGGAAGAAACCTGACCCACCAAAGAGAAAAAACTTACAGATAACCAATATGTCCAGGATTTCCCAAAGGAAACAACTGACCAAGCCAGTCTTTGGTAGCAAACCCAGTTTCTAATCAGTTTTTTAGTAAGCAGAATCTTTAATGTGAGCAAAGTCAAGGTTCACCATACATTTGAAGAAAGCCTCTAAAATGAATGACAGGTACCAAAACAAATGATCAGAAAACAACTTGGAAAAAACAGTCTATTCAGAGAGGAAAATACCTCAATAGTTTATATTCTCAAAGGGATAAGACTATTGCATAATGAAATGACAGCAGGGTGCTACATTAAAAAAGAATATTTGGAGGCTTTTAAAAAGCTTTGAAGTTCAAAACAAAATACAATAGCAAACATGAAAATTTTATGCTACAAATTTTATGCAAACAAGATAGTTTAGGAAATCTCTCAGAAACCGGAGAAAAAAGACACAGATACTAAAAAATAGGACAGGTAAAATCAGAGAATCCATCCAAGAGGTCCAACATTTGACTAATAGAATATCAGAAAGAGAAAGTAGGGGAGGACAGGGAATTGTGAGAACATAATTAGAGAAAATTGGAGCACTTAGATCACAAAATACCACTGAGTACACTGTTTCCTTTGAGGGTAGCAATGTCATGGGTATTTGCTTTACAATAATTCATTAAACTGTATATTTACAGTTTATGAAACATGAACTTTTTCTGTTTACGTATTAAATATCACAATATTTTCTAAAGGTAAGGGGAGGAAAAGGCCCAACAAATGCTCAAGAGTGAGTTAAATAGATCCACATCATGACACATCATAAAATTTCAAGAAACTGAGGTCAAAAGATCCTATAAGCTTCCCAAGTGGAAAGACAAGTTTTAGACAAAGGATCAAGAGTTAAAATGACACTAACTCTTGGCGGCAGCTATAGAAAACAAAAGATAATGGAGCAATGGCTCAAAATTGTGCAGGAAAATTATTTCCAACTAGAATTTTGTACTTGGCTATGTGCCCAGTAAAATATTAGGCAAGAATAAAAACATTTTCAGAAATAATGAGTCTCTAAAAATGACTTCGAACACACACTTTTCTCAGGAAGCTACTGTAGGATACATTTCACCAAAATTAAAAATAAACTATCACAGAAGAAGAGGAATCCAAGAAACAGAGTAACAACAGAAGTGAGGGGATCCCAAGGATAATGGAGAGGAGAAAATCCCCAAGCTGATAGTGAATTACAGGACTAGAGAACTAAGCTATCTACTAGTGATTGACTGGAATGAAAGTGAGAGAGGAAAGAATCAAGGATTGCTTCCAGGGTTCAAACCCCAGTACCACCAAAAAAAAAAAAAGCTACAGGAGCAAGAAGCAAGTATGCTTAGGAACATGAGAGTTTCAGTGGGGATGATGAGTATGTGTTTATCAGGTACAGCACTGACAGAGTTACGCACTGTCAGAATAAAGATGGCAACCCGAGTTCCCAAAGTGGAGATCACCCAGGAACAAGGGTAGAATGAAAAGAAAATAGGATTTAGGGTAGAGCCTCCCAAACCCTCAGATCTGAGGGGCCAGAGAGACAGGAATAAAAGGAGAGATTTTTAGAGATCAAGAAAGCCAAGAGAAGAGATTGCTTCAAGAAGAATGGCATGTTTAATACTCAAGAGGAAAAGGAGCTCAGTGTCCAATGAGTCTAGTGATATAAAAGTCACTGGTTACAAAAAATTGTTACAAAAGCAACAATTTTTACATATTAGATGATCAAAGATTAGAAAGATTTATTTTTTGTGTGTGTGTGGTACTAGGGTTTGAACTCAGGGTCTAAACCTTGAGTCACTCCACCAGTTCTCCCTTCTTTTTTGTGAAGGGTTTTTTCAAGATAGAGTCTTGCAAATTATTTGCCCCTGCTGACTTTGAACTGCCATCTTCCTGATCTCTGCCTCCTGAGTAGCTAGGATTATAGGCATGAGCCACCAGCACCTTGCAAAAGATTGATTTTATAGCTATCAAGCTATAGAGAAATGGCACTCTCATACATTGCTGGTGGGAATGTTAAAATAAGTAACAGGGATATCTGTGAAACATAAAATAATGTAACTTCTAACCCAGAAATTCATTCATATATTTATCCATAATATTTACATATTTATCAGAAATACTGGTACAAATAGACAAAGTAAGTACAAGAATTTCAAAGCAGCCTATTATGCAAAATATAGGGCTGGGGGGAAGGAACTATATCTCTGTCAAGTACAAAAGGGGTGAATATATTTAATTAAATGAATCCAGTGGACGCCCATGGAGCTGCTGCTCATAAATGAAGTAGACATGATTACACTAACACAGAATGGTATTTGAACATAGTAGGTGAAAAGCAGTATATGTAGTTCTCATGTTTCTAACTCTATGTAGGAATAGGTGTGCATGCACACTATAATAACAATATAAATATATACTTATAAATGCCTACAGTGACAGAAATATAAAAACTGTTAAAGATTAGTCTATGAAATGCAATTTAGAAAGCAAAGGCTTTTACTTTTCCATTGGTTGGATTTTTTTTGGGGGTGGGGCGCAAACTGGAGTTTGAACTCAGGGCCTCACGCTTGCTAGGTAGGCAATCTGCTTGAGCCACTCCACCAACTACAAGTTCGAGGCAACCTAGGATACATAGTGAAATGCTGTCTCAAAAAAGGAGTGGGGGCAGGGATGGAAGAGAGAGATGGGAAAGACAGAGAGAGAGAGACAGAGAGAGAGAGAGAAGATAAAAGAAAAAAGCATCTGCTAAAACAAGAGTAAGAGTGTGGGAGGAATGAGAATGGCCCTCTTACCTTTTGTGAAGCAAGTTCTTGACATACATTTTGTTGACAAAATGTTTTAACTGAAATTTTGGGCAAGGTGTTTTATCTTTCTCATGGTCTTGCTCAGTAAGAAATAGTTTGTTCAGAACCTGCAGTGCTTTTGAGTAGAACATGTTGTTGGCTGTACAGATGTTTAGGGCTGCATAGAACAGTCCCTCCAACCATTTGATATTGAAGATCACTCCCCCTACACATCAATGAGAAAGGTAAATAACAGTTAGCACCACCAAAAAATGAGTTGCAGGGAACCTAGGAAAAACCCCAGACAGTAACTAGAAGCCACATTTTCTCCAACTCAGGTAAATACTATGGAGCTGGGAATGAGTGAACACTCCTCTGCCCGTAATAACACATAATGTATAATGTATTGATCATACCTAAGGAGTACATATGGGACAAATGTAGACATTGTTAATGGCAAAAATATCTCCAGAATGGGGCATACCTGTAATCCCAGCTACTCAGGAGGTGAAGATGGGAGGATCATGGTTTGAAGCCAGCAAAAAAGTAATACCCTGTCTCAAAAAACAATATGGGAGTGGTGACCCACACCTATAATCCTAGCTACCCAGGAGGGTCTGAGGCTGGTCTGAGGCTGGCCCCAGGCAAAATCAGGAGACCCTATCTGAAAAATAAACTAAAGCAAAAAGGACTGTTGCATGGCTCAAGCAGCAGAGTGCTAGCAAGCACAAGCCCTGAGTTCAAACTCCAGAATGGTCCTTGTCAAAAAGGAAAAAGAACTGGGGGAAAATGCAAGATTAGAACAGGAGAGTTATTTTAGTCCCAAACATGCATTGTCTGTTTAAATTATTTCCTTTGGTTGTTTTCAGTTCATTCTCAAGGGTCCAAATAATCAGTCTTCTCAATTTTTCTTAACTAAGATTGCTTTTCACCACCAAATATTTCCTATACCAAACCTAAATGACTAAGAATGTATTTAACTTGCACTTTCACATACACACACACACACACACACACACACACGCACACTTGAAAAAGAACAATAGTCAACAATATAGAAATACATTGCAGCTGTGCAGGTACAGGACATAATGATAGGTACCGAAAGCTCTTGAACAATAGCGGGTGAGAGGGAAAGGGTAAGGGAGAGTAATAGAGGGGGTTGAACTGATCGAAGTACAGTACACTCACAGCTGGGATACATTGAGAAGCCCCTTGAACATTGACTTTAGAATTAAAAATGAAAAACAGAACTATAAAATAGGTACAGTATGGGGGTAACTTGTGGGTGGGGTAAATGGAAGAGATGAAAATGAGGGAATATGGTTGATGTGCTTTACATATATATATATATAACATGAGATAGAATAATGAAACCATTTGCAATTATTTTAGGTGGGGCAGGGAGGGATTGAGGTGAGGAGATGGTGGGGATGACCTAGCCATTGTCCAATGTTAAATCTATTCAGAATTGTCAAAATGAATCCTCGTGTACAATGAATGTAGGCTAATAAATTTTTTAAAAATCTCAATAAATAAATATATTAGTTGAAAAAAAAGGAGTTGCAGGAAACAAAAAGATAGTCACAGAGAATGTTCAAAAGAATGTCAGAAATAATGGTGAACCATTACCAGTATGACTGTAGGGGCAGGTAGCCTGAAGAATCACAGGATCCTGAAGCGCAGCTCTGATTTCCTTATTGGTCCCCCAGATGTGGTCAAAATCTTCAACACAATGATACTGAGGTCTCAAGATATTGGTGTGGTTCAGTAGTAGTTTCAATCTGGAAGCCACCAAGACAGGGAGTGCAGTGCCAGGACTGGAATAAGTAACTACATAATCCATTGCATTCACGTCCACACACACAAACGTACCCTCCTGCACAGCACTGCTCAGGCAGCTGAAGGACTAGGTCTGCACTGAGGGCACTAACAAGTTGGATTGTTCACCTGTCCACCTAACAAACACTTCTGGAATGCTATCATGTGCCACTGGGGTAGACACTAGGAGTACAAAAATAATTATGTTGCTGTGCAACAATGTCTTAACCCCATTACTAATTTTAGTAACTTTTCATGTTACTGAGCAGTGGTTTCAATGCTCACTGATGCACAAAGGTATAATATTCAGCTCAAAGCAGTGGGAGGCAATGTACTATTCCAGTTCTAAACACATGTACAACAAAGAAAATACCCACCAACACCTGCTTTGTGAGAAATTAGGGACACACAGTTAGAAGGGTTCATTGGGTCCTTCTGCAGATCAAGCTGCCTTCTCTTTGTTACTGTTAATGGCCAACTCCAAGAGGCAGGACTATGGTGGAGATGGGAAGCAGAAATCAGAGATGAGAAGACAACAGTTCTGCAGTTCTGTTCTTACCCTAACAAGATACCTGGTAGTGGGATGGCAGCTACCAAGCTGTACACAATGCAGGTCTTCTCAAGTCTTGTTTGAATTTCTAAGCAGATACGAGGCAGCTGAGATGGCAAACAGCAAAGAAATACAACATTGGCCCAATTCGCCAGACAAGAGTTATTGTAAAAGCACAGGATCCCCATTTTCTGGAACTCCTCTGGGAAAGATAAAAGAAGACAGAAAGAGCACAGTACAAAGAAGTTTGACTTGAACATCAACTCTGGGAGAGAATGATCACTAAGTTATCTCAGTAGGCAGCCCAGGTCTTTCCTCATTTCTATATGCCTTTGATAAGCTATGCAGCAATGTCTTAGCCCCATTACTAAAGCAGCTGGTGCCATTGTAGCAGCACTTGAAATTACAACATCATCTTTATCTTACTTTTAGACCAATTGCTGAATTTTTCAAATTTCTTAAGAAAAAAATCTCTAAGAAGCCTTCTGCTTCAATTTACTGAAGATTTATCATGTGCCAGATAATGTACAGTATACTTTATTTATATTATTTAAGGTAATTCTCACAAGGACATTCAGAGACAGAGACTATTATTATTCCCATATTATCCATGAGAAAACTGAGGCTTCAGGAAGCTCTGTGACTTGCTCAAAGTTTTACAGCTCTAGGAGATGGGATGGTAGGAGTTTGGAAAGATTGAATAGCTTTTGTAAAGTATATACAACTTAGGGCAAACAGGACACTTATAAGTGTGGAGAGATGTGACAACTTACATAGCTGCATGAGTTACTCACTGGTAGTTAATCAAACAATTATGCATATGCAATAGGGATTTTCCAAGGTAAGGATTTAAAATAGACAGTCAAATCTGGTAGTGTGCTTAGTGTTACTGAAAAACAGAATATGACAGACACTGCTGAGGTAAGTTCTTATATTTATGACCAAGTACATGACAGAAGTGATGCTGAGGTTATCTGGATGCTCATATAAACCTGAAGATGGAGGGAACAAAGAGAAAGTTTAGAAGGTGGCTCATTCTTTTCATGTGCTGAGCATTTTGAATCCTTGTTTCCTTATACCACACAGGAGTATTTTAAAACTGAAATTTTATTTCTAATAAACATATTGCTTCCAAAGACTATATGTACAATATTAAAGTATAATACATACTAGTCCTATTGACAGGATTAATAAATACTCCTTGAGTGATAAGATTTTTTTAAAATTTTCCTTAATAGAAAAGAACTTTTACAAATCAATAAGAAAAATATAGGCACTGCAACAATAAACCTATGAAGAAAATTCAACTCTTCTAGTGATCAATGAAAGACTTATTAAAACAAAAAATTTAAAAGACATATTCAATTGATAATGCTAAACGTGATTTCTTAACTGAGCATCAATGGCTCACATCTGGAATCGTAGCTACTTGGGAGGCAGAGATCAGGAGGATCATGGCTCAAAGCCAGCCAGGGGAAATAGCTATGAGATCCAACCTGAAAAATACCCAACACAGAAAAGGGTTGGTGGAGTGGATCAAGTAGTAGAGCACCTGCTAGCATGTGTGAGGCCTGAGTTCAAACCCAGTACCAACAACAACAAAAATTTCTTGCATTAATGAGGATGTGGTGCATACAATGTATACAATTTTACGAAATTTACACCTAAACAACCATTTTTTGAGGCCAATTTTGAAAAAAAAAGTATTAGAAGTTTCTGTAACTAGTAAACATATACCTATACCTATCACATGACCCAGCCATTTTACTCCCAGATATTACCCAAGAAAAATCAAAATAGGTACCCACATGAACACCTGTATACAAGTGTACATAGTGGCTTTATCTATAATAGCCAAAAATTAGAAACAACCTGCATTAATAGATGAATAAACTGTGGAATATTCATTCAATCAAATACTACTCAGAAACAAAGGTAACATCAATATATCTCAAAATAATTACGCAGGTGAAAGAAGTCAGACCCACCCAACAAAAAAACTGTAGGATTCCATCAATATAAAATTCTAGGTAATACAGTCTAATCTATGATGACAGAAATTATTGGCATTGGTTTCTTGGGCAGGGATCCTTAGGGAGGTAGAGAGATAAGCATAAATGACCAGAGGCAATTTTGGGGAGTGACGGATATTTTCATTACTTTGATTGTGTTGATGGTTCCACAGGTATACACCTGGGTCAAAACATCAAATGGTATATTTTCACTGTATTATATACAAATAATATCTTAATAATATGTACCTATTTGTTAACCTCGTAATTTTATTCTGAAAATTACATACAAGGAAGTTCAACTAAATAAGGCATAGTTATATAAATTACAGCACATCCGTAGTTTGGATTGTTTTTTACATTAAAATTAATCTCCTTACTGAGATAAATAAATTTTAAATCCTGAGAAGACCAGAGAATGGCACAGGGTATGTGGTACTCCTACCATTACCTGGCCAGGCACACACTTCAGCATCAGCATGCCGGACACCAGGGGTGGCAAGCACCTCCACAAGGCAGACACAGGGGAGTGCTCTCAAAGCCTTTTCTCAATCCATCTCCCCGGAAGCAACCACTGTTCTTATTTCTATCACATAGATTAGAAGATAGAATCAGTACAAGAACTCTGCATAGGTCACACAAGAATTCCTCTTTAAAAGGACCCTTTCAAAACAACTTTGACACCTAACCAGCACAACTGAGCCCCTTACTAGTACATACTGCTCCTCACCCAGGGCCTCTGGCCTCCTAGTAGAGATCCTCAGGTTGTTGGCAGGGACTGGGACAAGCTGCAGCAGTGAATAAACCAGCTGCTTCCAAGGTGACCACCTCCAATGATTCCCACTTCAACTTCTCACTGTCAGAGGCAAATCAGGGGATCCCGCTGGGAGAGAATGGGAACGTTGATTCTCATGTAATATTTCTCTGGAGAATGAGCAAACACAAACGTAAACATGTGAACACACTGTAGCTCTTCCTCTCACCCTGAATGTTCTCAGCTTGCCTGGTGTTACCTTATACTTCAAGATAAGGCATTTCAATTGTGTGCCATTTATTCAGCTTACTGGGGAATGAAATACTCTTCCTGGGTGTATTTTCCAGAATAATCCAGTTTGGTCTCCCTCAAAACTGAAACTCCAAACCCAATAAACAACTCTTCATTCCCCTTTCCCTCAACTCCTGGCAATTATCACTCTATTTTCTGTTTTGTTTGGCCACTTTAGAAACTTCCTACAAGTGAAATCATGCCGTAGTTATCATTTTGCAACTGGCTTCATAGCATAATGTCTTCAAACATCATCATGTTGGAATATCTAAGAGAATTTCCTTCTTTTTGAAGGTGAAATAATATTGCATTTTGTTTATAACTCGATTTCTTTATCCATTCATCATCAGTGGACATTCAAGTTGCTTCCACATCTTGGTTACTATGAATGATGCTGCAATGAGTATGGTTGTGGAAATAGCTCTTTATGATCCTATTTTTCAATTCCTTTGGTTATATACCTAGAAATGAGATTGCTGGATCATATGACAATTCTGTTCCTCATTTTTGAGGAACCTCCATATATTTTCCACAGAAGCTACGCTATCTTACATTCTCACCAACAGTACACAAAGGATTCCTTTCAATTTCTCTATATCCTCTCCAAAACTTGTTATTTTATGGTTTTTTAGTGGTGTTAGTACTAACAGATATGAGGCGATATCTCATTGTGCTTTTGATTTGCACTTTCCTGATGATTATTGATATTGAGCATCCTTTGTTTTTGTGTTACCGGGGTTTGAACTCAGGGCCTTGCACTTGATAGACAGGTGATCTACCACTTGAGTCACACCCCCAACTACTTTTTGCTTTATTTTCTGAATAGGGTCTCATGTTTTTGCCCAGAACTGGTCTCAGATTATGATCCTCCCATCTATGCCTCCTGAATAACTGAGATTATAGATGTGAATCACCACACCTGACTTGTTTGTTGAGATGGGTGTCTCATATATTTTTGTCTTGGCTGGCCTTGAACTATGATCTTCCTAATCTCCATCTCCCATGTAGCTGGACCACCATGACTGGCCCCTAAGCATCTTTTCATTTACCTATCAGTCATTTTTATGTAATCTTTGAAGAAATGGCGATTGAATCCCATTTTATAAATCAGGCTATTAGTTTTGTTGAGTTGTAGGAGGTCTTACAAATACTGGGTATTAACCCTGTATCAGATAAATGTTTTGCAAATATTTCTCTCCCATTCTATAGGTTGTCCTTTTACTCTTTTGTTTCCTGTGCTATGCAGAAGCTTTTAAATTTCATGTAGTCCTTTTGTCTATTTTGCTTTGCTGCCTGTGTTTCTGGTGTCTTATCTATAAAATCAATACCAAATCCAATGTCATCAAGTTTTCCCCTTGTTTTTCTTCTAGGACATTTACAGTTTTAAGTCTTTTGTCTTTAATCAATTTTAAGTTAATTTTTGTATGTGGTGCAATGGTAAGAGTCACTGGGCGCTGGTGGCTCATGCCTCAGGAGGCAGAGATCGGGACGTGGTTCGAAGTCGTGAGACCCTAAATTGAAATACAGCACAAAAAAAAGGGCTGGTGGAGTGGCTCAAATGGCAGAGTGTCTGCCTAGCAAGTGTTAAGTCCCTGAAATTAAACCCAGTACTGCCAAAGTAATAATGATAATAATAATGGTAAGACTCCAACTTCATTCTTCATTGCATCCAATTTTCCCAAAACTTATATTTAAAAAAGACTATGCTTTCTCCATCGTGCAGCTTCGGCACATTTTTGAAGATCATTTAACTGTATGTGGAGGTCTGCTTCTGGACTACTGTCTTCCATTGGTCCATATGGCCATCTTTTATGCCAGTACCAAGCTGTTCCAGTGCCAGAAACCACCTTTTGCTAAGCTTGCATCTACACTGAGCTATTACCTGCCCCCTCCGGTTGTTTTCTTAATTTCCTTTTCAAGTTGTTTATTGTTGCAGTGCATAAATGAAACTAATTTTTGAGTGCTAATTACATATCCTGCAAGTTTGATGAATGTTCACTAATTCTAAAAATTTTTGTGAGAGATTCAGGATTTCTATATATAAAATTATGTCATGTGTGAGCAACAGATCATTTACTTCTTCCATTTCAATTTGGGAGTCTTGCTAAATGCCTTGTTACTTCTACTATCCGTAGTGTGTTTGAAATAGAAGTGGTGAAAATTGGAAAA